AAAAAACCATAGTAGGAAGCTAGCGAAGTCGTAGCATATATCATCACAAACAGAACTTCCCGATAAACCGTAGGCAGAGAGAGAGAAGAGGACAACAAACAAGTGTCTGGAGTGTATTTTTTGGCTGTGACAGACCTTTCTTTGTTTCGTGGATGTTTTGTTGGCTTGTGATGGGGTGTGAACCGACACTCTGTAGATTTTTCCATCTGGTGTGGGAGAGTGATAGTCTACTTTTATTTTGGTTAAGGTAGATTATAATTTACAGTGTAATCACTGACCAAAATCAAAGTAGACTATCACTCACCCACACCAGATGGAAAACTCTACAGACTGTCAGTTCACACCCCATCACAAGCCAGCAAAACATCCACGAAACAAAGATATAGATATATATATTGATGTTCGTTCGTGCCGCTTCAAGAAGACCGAATTAATTCGCAGTTTTTCTTCATTCATCCCAGCGAGGTCGGAACTGATCCACAACTGAGACCTATACTGCTGGAGGAGTCACAACTGCGAGTTAATTCGCAGTTTCCCCAAGATAAGACGCCTTTTTCTTGAAAGTCCGTTCTTTATTTCCACAACTGCGAGTTAGTTCGCACTTTATGACCTACACTGCTGGAGGAGTTGTTGCCCTCCGTATCCAAAACTCGGAGTTAGTTCGCACTTGTAACACCCATGTCGTACATGTTTCAGATCTTCATTTCAACAATTCCGAGATAGTTCGCACTTTCCCCAAGATAAGCCGCCTCTTTCTCAAACGTGACTTTCTCGTTTCCTGAACTGCGAGTTGGAATTGTTGTCTTGTCTCCAGAACTGCGAGTTGGTTCGCACTTGTCGATACCCATGTGGTACTTGTTGTAGACGTCTTCATTCCCAGAACTCCGAGTTAGTTCACACTTTCCCGAAGATAAACCGCCTCTTCCTCGTTTCGAGGACTGCGAGTTGGTTCGCACTCTTTCGGAGGAGTTGTTATCTTTCCTCCGAACTCAGTCTGCCAGAGGAGTGTTGTCTTTCCTCTCGTTTACCCAATTGTTGTGACTTCGTGTGCATTTCAAACACCCATCTCGTACGTTGTTTTGTCTTGTTTCCAAAACTGCGAGTTGGTTCTCACTTGTCGATACCCATGCGGTACTTGTTGTAGAGGTCTTCATTCCCATAACTCCGAGTTAGTTCGCACTTTCCCAAAGATAAACCGCCTCTTCCTCGTTTCTAGAACAGCGAGTTGGTTCACACTCTTTCCAAGGAGTTGTTATCTTTCCTCCGAACTGACTCTGCCAGAAGAGTGTTGTCTTTCCTCTCCTTTACCCAATTGTTGTGACTTCATGTGCATTTCAAACACCCATCTCTTACGTCATTTTGGTCCTCTATTTCGTCAACTCAGGTAGTTCGCACTTTGCTTCTGTTCTCTTAGGAAAACCTCGTGGCTTTCCTCCCGGTCATCCGATTTGGTCTAGGGTTGGGCGTAAAATGGCGTTCGCGAAGAACACATCGACAAGCGTTGGGGCGTCTACCCCGGGGAGGGACGACCTCTTCAACAATCTAGTCCTCCGTACTTCCATACGAGGGATGCACAATGGTTTTTGAGCTTCGTTGTTGAGGGGAACCTTATTGGGCCAGCTGTTTTCATGCGACCCACTTGCTTTCCAGACGCTGAGGGAGCAGCCGACGTTCTTCCTCTCGGTACCATCGTCTCGTTCGACAAACGGTCTGGAGGCTTGCTCAAGCTCCACACTAACATCTTATACGACCACTGCAGACTGCCTTACAAAGGTGTTAAGGGTGTGATAGTGCCGATCAAGAGTTTCGCGGGGTATGACTCGAACATGCTACTTTGCCGTCACTTCAAAGGGCTTTATGATGACAACAGCAGGCGTCTTCCACCGCCAGTGGAATATCTCGATCTTGCGTTGAAGATGCCGAAAGACCGTTCAGTTCTTCCACGAGAATATGTTTTCCCGCTTCTGCCAGCCCATGAGGGGTCATCCAGCTTGGCTCAAGAAACCCCTGTTACGCCAGTGGGGCACGAGAGTGTGATTCACGGCGCTGGGGGTCAGGGCAAGGGGCACGCGCGCAACATTCAGACGCAGGTCGGCCCGGATGCTCTTGAGAACCCGTCTGGCTTGCATTCTTCAGATGCAGGGACTCACAGGGTCGGTACTCCGAAAATCCTCAAGGTCGTCTGCCAGGGCGACACGTATTCGCTTCGAGATGGGACGAGAAGAGAATCCGACAGATCAGGGCAAGAGGTTGGAGGGAATGAGGATGAAGGGATGGGCGCTGTGCGCGACAGCTCCGGTGGGGAGCCGACTTCTTCGGAAAATAAGCGCGAGTGACAAAAGACGGTGCGAGAAGAGGTGGCGGAACAAACCCGACACATGAAGAGGATGAAAGGACACTCGGAGCCGATGATTGGCGGGGATGAAGGTGACATCGGAGAACGTGCCTCGGGAAAGAGGACTCCAAGGATGCGTGGCGGACAAGAACAAGGAGTCAAAAAGAGGCAATCGAAGGAAGTGAGTGCAACAACAAGTAAGAAGGCGAGGAGGCCCGACAGTTTGACCATCCGCGAAGGACAAACTATGGGTGAAGGAGATTCGACTCGTCTAGGCATTGCCGCCGCGAGAGAACCGTCAGAGAAATCCAAAAGGAAACTAGCAGTTGAAGAAGACGATGGCGAGAAGAAACCTCGGCGGAGGAAGACTGGTGAGGGGTCGAGTGCTGGCAAAAAGGCTGTCGGTAGGCAGTACGACGAAGCGGCAGCGTTTTGGCTCGAATACGAGCAAAACGATGACGGTGAAATCGTGGAGAGGGAGCCTCCCATTCAACTGCTCATCGACCCCAGGAAGGTCTACGACATCCCGCTCTGGGAAAGATATTACAATCACCGCAGTCTCACTCGCGATGGTGTGGAGGACATGAAGGGTGCGATGCTAAGGCAGTTCCACGATGAAAAGGGGAAGATCTGGATGAAAAACCCTTTGGTTCTGGCACCCATCTACAAGTCAGTGAGGCATAAGCCGGAGAGAGCTGAGAGGGTTCACAAGGATGTCTTCAAGCCAGAGGACAAGGATAAGTACTTCTATTACCCTGTCAACGGACAACACACCGTGGCTGTTGTGAAGGAGTTGGACGGTGAGCAAATATTCAAATTGTGGAAGATGCACTCGTGGCCGGCGAGAGTCGTGTGGTTCTCCGACGAAGACTTTGGAGGGTATTTGCAGGTCAGTCTCACAGAGAACACAAGACACAAAATGTTTAAGCAGCGTGCGCAGAAGGCCGCTTTCAATGACATGCGGGAGGCATGGGAGAATTAAGGAAGGTCAGTGGCCATTCAAGGGAACCCTTCCGGTAAGGAGGCCGAAAAACAAGCGTTTTTCGAGTTCCAAAAGCTGTTTTTGGGAAAGAGTCCGAACGGGGCTCACTGGACGATGGCAAGTAAAACGACAACGCTCGCCGACAAGGACCACGTCGCTGCCATTGGCAGTGCATTGAGGCAATGGATGCCGATTGTGACGGCCGGTGATGAGGTTTTTCGGAAAGGCATGAAGTTTTACGACAAATGGGCCGAGGGAAAGTTGTTGGGCGGAGACGGGAAGACGCCCTTGTTGAAGCCGGGCAAATACATGGCAGACAAATCTCCGGGTCTTCAAGCGATTCCGGAAATGGGCGCCAAAGGGGCGGCTCGTGAAACGAAGATGGGGTGGCTGGTCCGGTCCCGCCGCCTCCGACCAAAAAGCAAACGCAAGCGGAAGACAAGTTCTTCGTCGTCGTGAAGGAACCATACATGTTCTGTTGGCAGTCTCTCACTGACATGACCGATGCCGAAAAACTGTCGATCCTCGACGACATTCTCGCATTGAGGGGAGTGTTTGTGCAATCGGTGGGCGGGCATCTGAAACGTCAACATAAGCCTGGAATTAAAGACATGGTCGCGATGAGGAAAGTGGACCGCATGATGCTCCGCATGTTTCACTACATCTTGTTCCTTGTATCGGAGGAGGACGCAGAGGTTTGGCGCTGCGGGAGCCCTTTTTTTCGGACCAAGGGCTACTTCTGGTGGAGTTCGGGCCGCAAGGCCCCACGAAGTAGGTGTGGGTCGAACTGTGGAAGCATTTCCAAGGCGTGGTGGAGTACATGAACACTTGCAAACGAAGAGAATGTACGATGATGACAGGTTCCCTAAATCTTTCGAGAAGTCCGTCCGTTCCATCTTGCGATGAATGGAGGAGGAAGTCCACGACACGATCAGGGTCAGCGGGGATGTGAAGCACATCAAATGGCACAAGCTCAACCGGGTGACCAGCCTTATTCCTTTCGGTTGTCCGCCTTCCCAAGCTCACAGTTGTCTCACTAAGATCCGTGAGATTGTGCGACATTACGTATGCAACTTGTACGTCCTCGATTTGTGTGATCCCACATTCCTCTCAGACTGGCAAGAAGACGATTTCGCCTCCTTGCAAGGCGTTCTCGAAACCCTATCGCCAAGGTACTGGGCACTTGTGGTCTTCTTCCCCTCTCGTTGGGAGCTAAGTTTCTTGAAAGGCATGGCCAAGCTTAGCGTCCATCCCGTCAGGGCAGGGAAGTGGGTGCGCCAGGCATAAAAGCAGGCCACTATCCAAGAAGGCAATATGCTGGTCGAGGAGTATGATCGTCTGTACGTGGTTTTTAATGGCGAGAACTTGGCAGACAACACGGTCGCAGTCTTCCCGGACAGTAGTCCAACGAAGCCTCGCCGTGCTCATGCTCCTAGTTCGGCCAAACCCGCGGCGGCGGCCCTCTCGAAAGCTGCCTGTTCATCCGACCCATCAGGACAGGTTGTGGCCTGTTTCGATGTGGCAGACGAGGACAAGTTCCCTCGTAGCCAGTGGGAGGACGGCGGCATGACAAGTGTTCGTGGAGCTACTTACGGGGACAGGGAACACAACCCGACTCATCTAATTGGTCTGCTCGAAAACTTTTCCAAAGTTGGGCAAACTGTTTTTTTTTTTTCGGAAGGCGCATGCGTCTGTCGTGTGGGAGCTCCTGCGCAGCGGTCGGAACGTCGTTGCGTTAGAGAATGAGGCGAGGATGATCGATTACCTTAATGAGTTCATTAAAACACGCGTGGGGGACCCTCACCACCATTGCTCTTTTGTCCAGACCACCGACGAACGAAACTGGGATCCCAAACGTGACATGTATTGGAAATTGTCGAGGAACAAAAGGACGGAGGTTTGGGACTTCCTTTTCCAACCAGGACCGCCTACTCAGACCGACTTGGAATACAATCGACGGAGAAACCTGGTGTTCGGTGTGCTGAATGGTTACCACAATGCACGCAGGGAGTCTGTCTCAAATTTCCTGAAAAGGCTGGAGCACATTTTCTTCTTGATGGCCGAACCGCTGACCCTCGAAAACTACAAGGCGCAGTTTGACGAGGAGGACCGTTTCGACGCTGAAGACATGGAGGAGCTGAGCGACTCCAAAACCTTCGATTTCGAGTCCATGACACTTCCTCGGGTGGTTGCACAGGTTGATGATGAAGGGGAAGGTGTTCCTCGGAGATATAGCGCGTCCCCTGCCGGTTTGAAGCGTGTGTTTGAGCGCGAAACAGTCGAGGACCAATCGTCTGATGACGGGGAAGAAGAGAGAGACTATGAGTACGAACCTGGTGACAAGCTCCCTAAGGACCATGAAACCTAGGAGAATGACAGACTCGTCTTCTACGGGAAGCACCACCGGTTCACAACGGAGGATGTCTGGGGCCACAACGTCATCCGACACCCCAAGAAATTCCAACCTGCTGTAAAGAATGGAAAGTGGGTCGTGGCAATGAAGGAAGCCGATGACAAGTGGAGTGGCCTGAACAGACAGGGAGCGGGTCCATTTAAGAAAAAGACGAGAGAAACTCTGGAGGAGCATTTGAGTGTGATGAACCCCGAAAGGAGCCCCCGCCAGACGTCAATGCATATGCAGGCTAGAAGCTCGACGAGCTGTACGACAACAAAATGTGGGAGTTTCGAGCGCCTTTCTACAAACTCGAAACGACACCATCTCGTGGCATTGACTGACGCATGCCGCAACCTCCGTCGGATGGTGAACATCCGAGAGGCGGTGGAGGAGGAGACGAAGGAGACGGCAGAGGTGACGGAGGAGACGGCTCAGGATCTCATGGAGGAGGTGACGGAGGAGACGGCTCAGGATCTGTTGGAGGAGGTGAGGGAGGAGACGACTCACGATCTGCCGGAAAGGGGTCAGGTGGAAAGGGGTCGGCGGAAAGGGGTCGGGTGGAAAGGGGTCGGGCGGAAAGGGGTCGGGCTGGAAGGGGTCGGGCGGAAAGGGGTCGGGCGAAAAGCGTAGAGTGTTCGGGAGTCGCGAGTCTAGAGAAACTTATAACCACTGCGTAGGGAGTCGAGATTCCGACATGCGAGACGAGGCCGCCCTGAAGTCTTATCAAGTGCGAGTAGATTCGCACTTGTCTGCGAGGACTTTCTTTCCCGATGTTGAGGAGAGTCCGTCCAACAGTACGCAGCCGACGCCTCCTGTGCACAACACCTTGCTCCTGCCCCTCTTGGAAGAGGGCGAACGTCTGCAGCATACGGCAGCATCTCCTGAGCGGCAAAACCATTCCTTGGCAGGAACTGCGTCTTCGTTTTGCCTGGAGGCCGGGATGCCTGCATTGCGAAGGAGCGAAAGTGCGACCGTCAATTCCCTCAGCTCTGGCGAGCGCCGCAAACTCCGAATAGATTCGGAGTTACCGATGTCGCCCTGTGAGCCTTTCGCCAGCAGTGCTCGCCGCAAAGTCCGAATACATTCGGAATTATTAACGTCGTCCTGCAGGCCTTCCGCCAGCAGTGCTCCTCACGCTACAGTTCCACGAGGCCAAGGAAATGTGAGGTCCAACCCCCCGCATCTTCAGTTGGGCACAGTGTTCCCCTGCTCACCGCCGTTTTCATATGTTGAGACTCAAGATTGGTAGTCTCGCAAAGTGCTGGAGGGGCCGGCTGCAGGAGTGTTGGAGACCGGGGGTAACGAGTATGAACGTCGTGCTTCGGAGGGTGTATCCGTTGACTTTGAGACCAAGAGTACAGAAACTCCTGGGGAAGAGGAGCTCTCACCGGGAGTGCATGCTGTACAGCGGGAAGAGGAGACTCAACACTGCCAGTCTCGTAGAGTGTTGGAGAGTGGGGCTAGCGAGTATGAACGCCATGCTTCGGAGGTTGCGTTCGTCGACTCTGAGAGCAAGAGTACATCAGCTCCGGGGGAAGAGGAACTCTCACAGGAAGCTCATGCTCTGCAGCGGAAAGAGGAGACTCAACACTGGCCAGCTCGCGAAGTGCGGAAGGGGCTCGATGCAGGAGTGTTGGAGACCGGGGCTAGCATGAACGCTCAAGTTTCGGAGGGTCCGTCCGTCGATTCGGAGAGCAAGAGTACAGCAGCTCCGGGGGTAGAGGAGCTCTCACAAGAGGTGCATGCTCTGCAGCGGGAAGAGGAGACTCAACATTGGCCGGCTCTCAACGTGCTGAAGGGGGTCGATACAAGAGTTTTGGAGACCGGGGTTGGCGAGCATGAACGTCAAGGTTCAGAGGGTACGTTCGTCGACTCGGAGAGCAAGAGTACAACGGCTCTGGGGGAAGAGGAGCTCTCATAAGAAGCGCATGCTCTGTAGGGGGAAGAGGAGACTCAACACTGGCCGGCTCGCAAAGTGCTGAAGGGGCTTGACGCAGGAGTGCTGGTGATCGGGACGTCCAAAGAGGTTCTGCACAGTCGGTCGGTTGTGGGGGCGACGCAAGAGGGTGATGTTAAGGGAGGTCAATGGACGTTTGTGGAAGGCAATGACCGTAGGGAGGAAGGACGTACGTGGACATTTGTGGAAACTCGGCATCTTGGCGATGAGGAAGGCGAAGAAGAACCCCTGGTGGAAGCTCGGGTTTTAAGGCGATGAGAAAGGCGAAGAACCCGTGGTGGAAGGCGGTGAGGTGGTGGTCGACATCCATATGGATCCAGAGGGGAAAGATCATGATTCTCAGTCCACCTATTGCGGTGAAGAACAAGGTGATCGAGCGTCTGTCCTCGGTACTGGTCGGGAAATGGTACTTCATGAAGCCATCGAGTTGGACAGCGACCCAGCTGCCACCGAGCTGGTTAGCGACTCAACCGTGGTCTAGGTGCAGAACGTCGAATCCTCCGTGGACGTTGGCACAGTGGCGCGACAGGTGGGCGATTTACCTCGAAGGACTCCTGAGCACGGTAAGATTTGTGAATAGTAGCACTCACATATCTGTCACCATTCAACTCTGTGTTCATCCAAATTGATGTGATGGGCTCATGTAGCTATTACCACTTGTTAAAAAACAACTTGTGGGTTGTGGGTTGTTTTCTATGTTTTACAGATGTGAGGTTGTCAATGTCCGTGGCCATGAAGACTTCAAAAGCCATGCGCGGGAAATATTTTTCAGGGAGGTTATTGGCCGCTTTACCGAAGACGTCGTCATCAAGTGTAGGGTTGTTTAAAAGGGTCCAGATGCCTTGCCTTTCCCAGAGAGCTGTCAGGGTTCTGAAGGCTTGTGAAATAGATAAGGAGGAAATTCTGCAGAAATATGTGGTTGCGTCTATTGAAAGCATTACTGCTTTGTCTGACGGGTCTGATGACGATGCCAAATGGGGTATCTCCAAAGACCCGTATCCTAAGTACATCGCCAAGGATACATTCAACAGTCAGGGATATAACTTTTCTAGAAAAAGGGCACACAGTTCTTAGCCAATTCGCCCCCGTAATTTTGGTCGCTCCTCACACTTGTTCGTGGGTGTTTGTGCAGCTGGGACTACATCATCTTTTCGTGTTTCCCTGCCTACAGAGAAGATTAGCGCTACAGAGTTGAGAATGTTGCAGGATGTCTGCGGAGATTTCAGCAACGGCCACGTGGTGGTTTCCTTGATTCGCAAAGGGCCAGTTCTACTCTGTTGAGCAGAAAAAATCTTCAAACTCTTGTCCAGGGGAGGTGGCTTTCCGACGAGGTGGTGGAGTCGTACTTGGCCTTGCTTGGCAACGCTACGTTGCCTGGGTGTCCCTCTGTTTACATTTTCAGTCTGTTTTTCTGTACCAAGCTCGTCGGTGGTGGATGTCGACATGATAGGGTTGCGAGATGGACAAAAGATGTGAATATTTTCTTGTACAACATGGTATTGATTCCTGTTCATAAAAATCGAGTGCACTGGACCCTATTATGTGTCCGCGAAGGACGACTGGAGTAGTACGACTCCCTCCTACAAGACGATGGCGGTTTTTCTTCCGATGTGCTTGCGAACTTCACGAAATACCTCCGTGACGAAGCAGTTAGTCAATATGGTCAAAACGCGAAACTGAATCTCCCGGAGCCCGAGGTGGTTGTTCATGGTGTCCCTCAATAGTCGGACGGGTCGAGCTGCAGTGTTTTCATGCTTGCCTTCGCTTCTTTTATTGCACGCGGCCATCCACCACCATTTCCGATAGCCCAAAGCGACATTCCAAACATCAGGCTGAGGATTGCGGTAGACATACTCCAAGGCTTAGAATAATACCCATATTTTAAAAATACTCGAAGTTTTTTATTCGCAAAGCCATAAGCAGAATTGCGAATTTATTCCCACTTAGTCTAACAGTCGGCTGGTTCGAGCTGTGCTGTTGTTTTGATGAGATAGCGGGTTGCAGTGGATGTTTTGATCAAGTAAACGCTTAGGTGTCGATGTGAATATCCCAGCCTCGTGATGTAGTGTTTTTTTAAGGGTTCTTCATTTCGAGGAACCTGTCAACTTTGTTTTCAGGTTATTCTCATTCCTTGCCGAGCAACATCAGCTAGAGGGTTGCAGAGGACGCTTAGGTGAAGTAGAAGCTTAGATGTCGATGTAAATATACTAGCCACGTGGTGCAGTATCTTTTGAGTGGATGCTTTAATATCGGATGTAAATATCCTAGCTTTGTGCTGCCTTTGTTTGTTTTCGGGTTGTTCTCCTTATGTCCTCTACGACCGCGACAGCGCCGTGCTGCCTTTATTCGTTTCCAGGTTGTGCTCCTGTATTACTCGTGGGACATCTTTGTCCTCTTGTGGACATTCTTTACACTCATGCTCGTACGACTCGATACTCTGGTTCATTTAGCAAGATGTTGGTGAACGATATCGATGATTTCTTCTTGGTCGCCAAATTGTTTCGTGCTTATCTCTTTCTTACGCGAGACTTTGTGGTGTGAAAGCCCCCCTCCCCCCCCCCCACCCCGATCGCCCAGCTTTCACATATTTTGGTTCGCCCCTGTTCTGCGCTTGCCGCCCCGTTTTATGGTTCACCCCCTCTGCTGTACCCTCCTCCCCGCAACCACCATCCTTCTTGTCTCCACTGAATGCTGACTGTTGGTTCCATATGACAACTGCGAACTTATTCTCAATTCGGAAACCGATTATCACCATAATGTATGTGTGCTTGAAGTTGTTTTACGGACTTCAGAAAATTCAGCGGTGCACTAAATGATGACCAATTTTGTTATCGCCAGAATACATCTCGTACTCTCCACTGAATGCTGACTGTTGTTTCCGTATGACAAATGCGAACATATTCGCACTTTGGATGCCATACATTTGTGATAAGACCGTTTATGTTTACAAATTTGCCAAAATGATTACCTTTTGTATTGTCAACAAGAATTTGTTCATAACTGCAAGTTCGACAAAATGATCATCAATTGTGCTATCGCCAGAATGTATGTGTGCTTGACCCATGAGCTTCGACATTGTTTGTCGCTGAAGGATCGATATGAGGCGTTCAACAAAATGGATGATTGGCCAAAATTGTTACCTTCTGTATTGTAACTGGAAGACTGATCATTTATGCAAGTTCGCAAAAAATGATATTTTATTTAAAGGTCTTCTTTCTTATCGAAAAAATGGATAAATCGTGAAAAAGGTTGTCATTTGAGCCATGTCTTGTCGAATGGGAAATTGGTTCCTCCCTCTTGGCAAGGTCGGCATGCCACAAGTGCTTCCTTCAAATTTTTGATATTTTTCCTTGAACGATCACGAGCAAATCTACGAAGCCTACAATTTTCGGAATTTTTTGTGAGTTTTTCTCAGCGCGTTGTCGTTGTCAAATTGCGAGACTAGGCCCGACTTTCCAACAACTGCGATTAAGCATCAAAGACTTCCCAAGAACTGCTAACTTGCGGGACCTGAAGTTCAATTCTATTTATGGAGTGCAAAACTCTGCTCGAAACAGATCTAGGTCCAACAGGAAGACCAACCACAGACCCACCAAACTAGCCCAGTGGCGGAAGACTGCCCAAAAACTGATAACCTGCATGGAACAAATCCACAGCCATCATCAACGTTCCCTAAGAGTACTAATGGCAATCCGCGCAGACAACCAACGACTGTTTGATATTTCTTGAAGGTGCTCAGTCACCAAACAGATCACGACATAACTTCAACCAGGCATCAAGGTTCCCTGAGAGTGCTTCTGGCAATCCGCACAGAGAGCCAATGACTGTTTGGCACTTCCTTAAGGTGCTCTGTCAAACACCGATAACTGCGAATTGATTCGTTGTTCAACTAGTATCTGTCAATGACTTTCCGGGTTAAAGCAAGGACCTCGGACCCTCTTTCTCTCTCCCTCTCTCTCTCCCCCTCCCCCCCCGTGTTTCCGCCTCCGGTCGTCGCCATCCCGAAGAACCCGCCAGAACTCACAGGGGGGGTTATTTCCTGTTGTCGGAGGGAGTGGTGGTTTAAAGCGCCTCCTCACCTTTTCTGACACCTCACTGTGCGAAACGATGATTGCGAATTAATTCGTAGTTTAAGATTCCCTCCTCTACCTTAACTGAAGGGAATTTCTGACTCGCTTAGAACGTCTCCTCACCTCTTACGACTACCGTTCTAAATTCAGAAGCAACCTTTGTCGCACCTTCACAATAACGGTGGCGTTACCTTCACATCCATTATCGGACCATCAAAGCATCAGTAGACGTGGTCGCTTTTAGTCTTTTGCGATTTCCGACGCCTTAACATATCGGTAACAGGGGTGCACGACACCTTAACGTATCGCTATAAGGGTTGCAAACACTTTTAATGTGTAGTCATCATCGTCGCTGTTAGGATTCCCGATGCCCAAACCTTTTTGCTAAAAGGGGTCGACAACGGGTATGCCATGGGTGAGCGAATCCAGTGGCAATCTCGTATAATGTGGTGATGAGAGTTAATAACCGTTGGCACCTTTAGCGTGAGTTTTCACTCGCCTTTATGTTGCGTCGGATGCTAGACCTTGAAAATATGTAGCACCGTACCCCTGCGCATTGATTTCATCTCACGCTCAACTGACGTGTTGACGGATAAAGATGCACCAGAATTGCTAAGATTAAAATCTTTGCGAGTGGGAACTGTACGATGCATCACATTTGCCAGGCTCAGTGCGGGCAAGGTCCTCAGAGTCTTATACAAGGAATTTTTCTGAGTTTGGAATTCCGTCCTCCTTCAACTTTGCTGGCAGTCATTAGTATCCCGCTTACAGCGCTTCCTGACCTCTTCCAACGACTCTGTGTGTGGCATTTCTATCCCGCTTACAACCCTTACTCACCTCTTCCAACGACTAAGTGTACGAAAGCATTTGGAAATTAATTCGTAGTTTAAGATTTCGTCCTCTACCATTGCTCGCAGAAATTAATGACCTGCTTAGAGCGTCCAATTTTTGGGGTCAGTGACGCTATCGAGCAAATCGGTCCGGCACCGTACGAAGTAGAGCGGGACCCTTCCGGCCACGTCATGCAGGAGTTGATCTTAATCCTCGTCACAGATACATATGGACCTTCCGCAAGCCGCTCCGGCCGAGTGCACCAGCCATACATCTCGCGACCCCCTAGGACAGGATAGGGCCTACGCAAGGCGCGACTTACCTCCACCTTACGAGAGCTGTCACCTCCCTTCGGTGGGCGTATCCCCGCTGAGCTACCAGTCGACAGTACGGAAGTTAATCAGTTGCAATCGCAGAGGTGGACCAGCCGAGGGCGTTTCTCGTTCGCTGTAGGTACTCGTGGTCCCACGCCTTTATCGGACCCGCACGCGAACCGGCGCACTCGGGGGGCTGAAGTCCGAGGCGCGATTCGACGTCGGTCGCCTAGGACGTATCCTGCTCACTACGCGTACACCACACTACGAACATAAAAATAAAACACACACACACACACACACGAAACGACACAACACAACATAACATCAACGCGACAACATTCCTAGTCCCTTCAGTAGCCATCCCATAACTTTCCGACGTGGAAATCGGATAGGCGACGCTCGTGAGACTTAGTATAAACCCGCGCGGGCAGGGCTATCTCATATCGACTCGCAATGCATGTGCACGCAAGCAGTCACAATGATGGCGTACTATGTAGTGCCCATAATCAAGCGGCCCCTCATGGATCCGAGTACCGCTCATGACACTCAAGTGTCAATCTCGAAGTATCGTGAGGGTCAACCCCTTCACGATATTGCACGGCTGAAGAAACAGCCGTGCGGCCCCTGCGACACCTCAGGCCTTTAGGTCGTGTGTCTCGGTGGGCAGGGCAAGTAGGCTCTGTGCGGGGGGTAATCCCTTCCACGCAGAGTCTAAGACCTGGGATGTCCTGGACTACGACCTCGAATCCAGGCCCAGGACCAACGTCCGACTAAGAAATATTTTAAGAAGCATACAAGTTGCACGTTGATGGGCCCGAAGCACTCAAACAAACCTGGAGTTTATTCTTAGTCGCAGAGAGGCCGCTCCAAAAGGCTACCTCGAAAATAGCTAACAAGGGAGAAATTCGATATCACAGTGATTTTAAGGGGGTTGGTCACCGTTGGTGTGCTGGGGTGGTTGGGGTTGGGTGGGGGTGGGGGACTAACGGTCGACTAAGTAAATGTCATAGGCTCAGTAACAAGTTGGAGGTTGATGGGTCGAGTTCTCAAGCGATGGTGGTTGACCCATATCACTGCCCACTTAGCAACACTTAGCAATGATTGTTTCGATTTATTATTATTTATGTCGCTCCTCAGTTCATATTGCCAACATTAATTTCTTTTACTTATGTCGCTCCAACGTGAATTCCGGCTTTGTTATAAAAACTGAACAATCAAAAGGTTCACTTTTAACGAAATGTGTATTGTTGGATGAGGAAGCATGTTTGAGTGACGATTGTGTCAAAGTCATTGTAGTCCTCCACTCGTCCTAATGCTTGTGTCAAGGAGTCAATCTATCGTTTGAAAAACTCGCGACGAATGTGTGTGAATGGTAAGTTTGGATCCGGCATGGGAACAATCTATTGCCAATCGGTCGACCATTCGCGCGTCGGCTGGCTCCCTTGCTACATTTGGAAAACTTTGTTGATGCCCTGGGTGACCTCGTCTTGGCCGATAAAGCGTGCTTTCCACAGAGCTTCAACGGTGTCCCAGTCCATCTTGGTGTGCAGGCGGTCCATATTGACGCCCTCCTTGACCGCTAGGTGGTTGAGCAAGACTTGGCACGCACCAGTGGTGTTGAGGTAAGAGGGTCACGATCTTGAGGTGATCGGGGACTTCACAAAAGCTTAGTTCCGTGGTAAAGCCTTCCCACCATGTGAGAGGATCCTGCTTGGTGTAGTCGTCAAACTTCTCAATGTTGAAGTTTGTCATCTTTCACAAACGTTGTTCGCCGCTACCCGAAGGTCGATACTGTAGCGTACGGAGACTGCAGGTCAATGA